ATATATATATATATATATATATATATATATATATATATATATATATATATATATATATAGAGAGAGAGAGAGAGAAGAAATAGGGACCACTGTTATCTTTATACATTCTTTTTAAAATATTTTTTTATTAAAAAAAATTAACAACATATTAATATCATATATTTCAAAGAAATCCATCTTGCAGTATGTCAATCAGCTGAGACTTGGAACAGCTATGCAAAGAGGTATTTCACTCAGGATGGCACTGTTTTTATGATACCGATTTTAGTGACCTACAAGAGTAGTAAAATGAATAGAAAGTGTGAAGAGAAATCTAATAAGAATCTAAGGTTCAAACATTTATGGAGATATATAGATATTTATATTTACAAAGCAGTGCTGTCCTTTGTTTCAGAGACTTTCATTAACTTACATTATGTTTATATTTGCATAATCTCTTTAAAGAAAGATTACAAGACTGAATTTTTAATAATTCTAATTTTTCCAAATGCAGGATGAATCACTAAAAATGTTATAAGCTAATATTTCTAAAACTGAACGAAATATGAAATTCTTGTTTTCTACTGACAATTTGAAGCATGCATAATATACTGAGAGACGATAATTCGATACCAAATAGTCACTGCAAAATAAGAATTTTATATCTCGTTTAATGTCACAAATATTAGCCTGTACTGAATATCTGTAGTGGCATTCTGTGTATTTAATTTGTGTTCCTTTATAGTTTATATTATTTTTAACATACTATTCTTTTATTTATTATTAATTCTACTTTCAAGTTATTGAAAATTTTTATTTAAAATGTACTTTACGTTTCCAATATTAACACTTTGTATACAATCATATTTTCTAGGCATACATTACAATATAAATGTTCGAGATCTTGGCAACTTTAAATTGTTACAGCTTTGTTGAAAATCAATATTGCTTATAAATTTGTTTTCCACATAGAAAAAATGACCAAAGTACAATATATAGTGTACAAATAAAATAAAAACCAATATTTGTTTGAATCTCAGATACAGATTGTATGTAAATTACTAAAAAAAGATTAGATATTTAAATTCTCTTCATAACATGTTATAGTAATGTTGTCAATATTATATAACCCACAGTAGAAATTTCCAAAGTATACTATAAGGATATCATTGAAACGTTGCAATATTTTAGATTGTCATAATGATGTATTTTAAACATTTCTATTATGTGTGAATAGTCAATATAAATATCTGTTACATAATTTAACAAAATTAATATTTTTTGTATTACGATTTTAACAAATATATATCAATTATTTGTACAATCATGTTTTTCTATAATATTATAATAGTGTTTATGAACATTTAATTATAAGATATTGGTATTTTTATGATTAAATTTTTATATAAAAATATTTATAAATATTTTATAATTAAATGTGTTCATAAATACTATAATCCCAACATTTATATAACCTCCAAACCAAATATACAATTAATGTCTATAAATGGTCTATAAATGATTTCCTGATATTACGTCCTTTGGACGTAATTATGGACGTTTCAAAATATGTTAACAGACCGGAATTATGACGTTTTACTGAACACCAATAGAACGTCATTTCGTCTTAAATAGGACGTTTCATTGGACGTCCATGGTCCGATGAATAACGTTTCAGGTACGTCCATTGGACATGATTTTGCTACCTGGGAATATATCAATGTTGAATAAAATCATCTAAATTAAAAAGACGTAGTTTTACACAATTTTTTGACTACCGTAAATTATTAAAAAATACTGTTCAAGATATCGACGTTATTTTAATTACTACGAAAACGACACTGTTATGAATATTTTGGTTCAATATAGATGCCAATCAGTTCACTAATTCCTGAGAAACGCGATAGATAAATTGAGAAAAACACGTCGTTTTCTAATCTTATTAAAAATTTTCAAATAGAAAAATAATTTATTACCTTCTTCTGCTATATAGTAGGCCTATAAAATATATCTTTTTTTTTCTTAAAGATAAGTTCTTGATCCACACATTTTCTGGCAGGCTTTATAAAGTCATCGAAAGTCGGTCGTTAAAAACAGCTGATGAGCTCGTTGTTTTATATGTCGGTATATGCTTTCATATTCGGTTTTATTATAATTTTCATGTGAAATTAATTTGTAATAATTTGTAAAATGATTTGAAATTCTTTATTGAATATATAGAATATACGATAAAAAATAGCAATTTCTGCTATAGCTTTTCCACATAATATATATATGTATATATAATTGATATCACATTTATATAATTGACACCATGTTCAAAATTCCCAACTATTTTAAATCTTAGTTCGCAAATGTTTCGTTAAACATTATATTGTTCTGACATTTATGGTAAAAGAGATCGGTTTCGATTAGAAAAGTATTGAAAGAGTACCGCATTAGGTTATATTTGACCTGCGCGGCATCTGGTATACCGAGTCCTTCGAATATTGAAAACACATACCGATAACCATTGACATTTTGCTCAATTACTAGGCAAATATATTCTTAAGACTTTAAGTCTTAAGACTTAAAGTCTTGAGACTTTAGAGTAAAAAAATATAAAAAAATTGAGTTATTGATATTGTTAAATATCAATAACTATGATATCCGCTTAAAGGCAGCATCAGCATCCAACATGTTTTTGCTTTTTAAGGCTTGAAATTTTTTCAGATTTATAATAGTTTTTTCTTTCCGCTGTATATTTTTCTTTAAGGTATTATTTTTGTTTTTAATCATCTGCAATTTTGTCTTCAATACAGCTTCTTTTTCATTTATAAGGTTATGGAACATGCTTGCCTGTTGATATAATCTTTCTTCTTGTAATTTTTTAATTTCCTCTATTTCCTTTTTTAACTTTTCATTTTGTATAAGTAGCTTATTATAATGTGTACATGTGGAACCTGTAATATAATATTAATTAATGGTACTAATAATGGTAAAAGTTTTCTTTCTTAAGAAAATTTATACATACATTTTGATATTGCTAAAGTAGTCTGATTATCATCATATGAATTTATCAATTTTTGTTTTTCAAGAGGTGATGCCAATCGATTTTGTTTTTCATCAGATAATATCAATAGATTTTGCTTTATATCAGTTGATGTCAGTTGATCCTGTTCTCCATCATGTAATTCAAGTAGATCTTTTTCTTCATGAAGTGATGCCAAATCATATTGTTCTTTCTCAGGTGATATCAATTGATGTTTTTCAGTAATATCATTATTTTGATTTACTATAATAAACATTTTTATTATTCCGTGCGCTATATATTTACGTTATTTATTTTTAGTATAAAATACGAAATATAACATTTATTCAATTGCCTTGTTATCATTAATATCTTTCATGTTCATGATATGTTATTATTATTGAAGATGTCTTATTTTATATCTCTCTATTGAATGACATTTTGAAGACTGCATATAACTGTCTACTTTACCAATTTGAGATCTATATATTACTATAAAAAATATCACGTAACGACTTAAAGTGATAAATAAATAACAGAGTCTCAGCATAATCGTGTTCGAATTTGATTGGACGTGACCAGCAATTTTTCTTAAATATGCTTCGGAATTATTTCCAAAGATCTACTAATCAAAGAATGATGATTATCAAATAAACATAATAACATAATTTTTCAAATATCTATTTAGAACGTCGAATTAGTGGCATATGGTTTAAGATACGGCTTATTCGGGGCAGCTATGCATTATGTTATAATGTTATATACAGTAACAGTATAACGATCTTTTAACTTTACGAACGTGAAACATATTAAAATTTTATATTCACAGTCGGCTTTTATATTTCAGACGACTTAAATATAAGATTCGACTATAAATATCACCCTTCGAAATATTATAAAATTGTGATTTTTTATAATTTGATCAGTTGGCTGTTTTAAGTTGTGTCAAATGAAAATCTTTCTTCCATACAGAATTATAATTAGATTGTGGATTTGTTTATCTATTCTACCAAAGGTTAAAATTAGATATCGATGACAAGCAAATGGCAACTAGCAAATGATGATTTAGCATCATATATCCTAAACTTTAAATCATGTACTATCAAATACTGCTATTCGGTAACATATTTATAAAGTATATGATGTATCAAATATCATTATCTACTAGTTGTCATTGATAATCTGATTCCAATCGTGAGTAGAACAGATGAGTAATTCCACAGTTTAATTAAAATTCTCAATAAATGCAATAAATGAATGATAATAAATAAAACATCCTCCCCTTTATATGTACATAATTATAGAAATCTGTAACAACATACATATTATATATATAATACATATTTTCTCAAAAATTTCTTATGATATCTTTGAACATTTTAAGATATCTTTTAGATATTTTTAAAATGTCATAATGTTGTGTGAGATTATTGTAATGAAAAATGATTTTTTACTTACATTCTTTGATTTTATATACTGTATTTTGCTGTAATAATTGCAAAAGATTTGCATGTACATGTTGCGTAGGAAATATATCCTGTTTTAAACGTTTTCTTTGAGTATACATATTATTAGAATAATCATTATTTATAAAATGTAAACTACATATTCGTGCATCTGAATAGGGAAACCAATTATCTCGCCCTGTAGCAGCAATCCAATATTTCAAACTGCTCTTATTATGAAATGGAAATCTAAAAAAGTTAGTTTAAAATATATAATATGTATAATGTGTATCAGAAAAACATATGTTGAGCAATCTCTTACTGACATGTAGATCAAGTGAAAATATAAATCTCAGTAAAAATAAGTCATATGAACATATTTTATATGAATTTGTGAGATAATTTTTACATAATCTACATACCTATGACAAACAGTTTATCTTTTCATTAGACATAATGTATATTTATCATTTTTAAAGGTAAATTATAAAAAAATACTATAAAATCATGATAAATAGTACATATTTATAATTATACAAATTAAATTGAACCTTATATTTATATTGAAAATCATGTAAATATTGTAAACTATTAGTTCTATTTAAACTATTAGTTATTTTTACAATGGCTTAAACGATTACACTTACCTAAAAAATTTTATATCACAATTTCTTTTCGCCGTACTTTTACAGTTCGTGATACAACACACTGGCATTTTATATATAAAAAAAACTTTTATTACATAAATTAACTTTTAGGTGTTTTTATATACGTATTAAGCCCATTCTACAATGGCCTGGTTTACATCGTCTCTCTCTCTCTCTCTCTCTTTCGATATGGTTTTAGACAGCCAAAGGCGTACCTCCAACACCACTCAACGATTAGGAAGCAACTGACACGGTATAGGGTGTAGTTTATAATGATTGATTGGTAGATTTTTGAGGAAATCAAGGATAAATTTAAACGGAGCAGGAAATTTTAAAAAAGCAGCCTTAATTATGTCCTCAACATTCATAATATTTACTGTATATAGCTGTATAATGAGTTTATCGGATTCCTCATTATGTAGAGAACATTTAAATAGCAGATGGTCCAAGTTTCTGGGAATAACTCCACAGCTACATTAGAAGTTATGTTTTTCCGCAAAAGATGTATGCCAGTGCATATATGGTGAGATTGTATCCTAGGGGTCGATCATGTATCTTTTCACCTAGAATAAATTCGTGAAAAAATGAAAATTTTCACGTAAAGCGAAAACTGAAAATTTTAGTGCAAAAAAGTGAAAAAATGAAAACTTTCATGCGAATTAATATTTACCTTGAAAAATAATATCCATATTCATAATAAGTTAATCAATTACGATGGCTGCTGCATGGTGGATAGTTAATGAGGAACAAAATGAAAGAAATGAGAATTTACGTATTATGCGTAAAATTTTAAGAGATACTCAAGATCCTTTTGATATCCTAGAAAAACAATTTCAGGAATTATATAGGTAATAATAATTATTATTATATTATTGTAATTAATTTTATTATTTTATTTTTTGTTTGTGTGTTACATTCATTCCAAAAAAATAATATATAACATGAAGAAATATTATAAGCAAACATGAGAATATTTATAGTCTATTATTTTCTCACTTTAATGTAATTATGCTCTATGCAAATACGCAGGGTTGAGTTGATACATATACTATAGTATAACTCAACTCGACCCAACTCTGGGTATTTCAGAAGCATCCATGGCCTAATGGCTCCTGCACGCAGGACGCGATAATGCTTGCTGCGCGGTGGAAGTTCGCGCGACAGCCAATCAATATGCTGCTTTCCGTAATAACTTTCTAGCTCTTACGAAAAAACAACATATTGATTGGCTGTCGCGCGGACTTCCGCCGCGCGGCAAGCATTACTGCGTCTTGTGTGCAGGAGCCATAACAGTTGGGAGCGAAGCACTTAGACACGGTGCATTTGGACACAGCCAATCACAGCACCGTGTGATTAGAGACATTTGTAGGGTCCCTTGGAACAGCGACTTGTGATTGGACTGTGTCCAATTGCCCCGTGTCCAACTGATATACACCCATAACAGTTGACTGCCCAACTTGAAAAGAAAATGCAATACTTGCTATTGAATTCCCTATTGCAAGATATCTGAAAAATGTATCACAATTTTTGCTATATTGTTTATAATTTCGTAAAACATTTTTTTCTAACAATGATTTCTAAACATAACTAAAAATTTAAAAAGTAGTTACATCAAACAATTTTTTACTAATAAACTATACCTTAATGTTATTAACCTGTGTCCGGAGACAGAGTTTTCTTAGTTTTTTACCAAATAAGGTCTTAGCATGGTTGATGACTAGTTAAAATGTTGAACATACATCCTGACATATTTGGCAAACATGTCTTCATCAGTTTTTAATTCTTGAAATAGATTTTCATTCTCCTTGCTGTTTTCTCTATTGATTAATTGGTCTCACGAGCCATCTTCTATTTTGCCATCTTTTGTGTGTTTTTCTCCGTTTTAGTCTCATATAATAAATTAAGAGTAATGACAACAATAAACATTTTAACTCATAGACATAACTAAATAATAATTCATAGACTTTGATGTTTTCATATTTGTTGACTTGAGAACCTAAAATTTTATTTCAATATTTATATGTCAAACATATTCTATACATAGTGTTGGGAAGAAGTTATAGCGCAATGTTTATAATTTTGTACAGATACACTTAACAGTTTAATAAAATTAATATGTGCTCAATATAGACATTTCTAATTATGGCTGCAAGATAAATTATTATTGTTTTTTTAATTATTGTTCAATAATCTGATTTAATTACTTTTGTCACAAAACCTCTATGTTTCTTCGTAACATAACGTAACGTAAAATTTTCGTGCGTTGCCGTACGTTCAGCTTACGTCTCACATAACGTAAGATTGTCACGTAAGGTGGCGCAAGGAGCTAAGGCAATGTTTGTGCGCTGGCCCTTACGCCCGTATCAGACTACAGAGGCTGCATTTCGAAATTCACTGTCAGTACTGAAATTCTATAGTATACGTGACATGAATTATAGATTTTCAGTACTCGCAGTGAATTTCGAAACGCAGCCAGATTAAGATTGAGATTGAATTGAAAATTGGCCAATCAGAACAAAGTTCACCAAACTTGAGCTTAGTGAATTTTGCTCTGATTGGCCAATTTTCAATTCAATCTCAATCTTAATCCGTAGTCTGATACGAGCTTTAAGGCCATCACACACAAAATTACATAGACGCATATGCATAGCATAAGATAGTATGGACCAATAAGCATCGAATATTAAGTATCAATCATCAATATGGAGACTTAATATTCAATGCTCATTAGTCCATATGATCTTATGCTATGCATATGCGTCTATGTAATTTTGTGTGTGATGGCCCTTACGCTTATGCAAGTTACGCAGCATGAGGAGGCACCCTCAATCTGTTCCTTTTAGCTGCACCAATTCAGCAGTGCAGCTAAAAAGAACAGATATTAGTTCCACTTTGTTGCCTGTTATAGAGCGAGGGCGCCACAAACACTAAACACTTTTAGGGCCATGGCACACAGAAAAACTTAAGCAGTAAGGCGTAAAAGATAAGCAAATTGACCAATCACAGTCGTTGATTCTTGGACCGTAAGAAGAATTATAGGGTGTTTCCGATAATGGGTACTTTCCAATTGCTTAACACATCTTGACACACACGTACACAAAACCATTGACCATTGTGACCAGTTTATTGGTCACATATTATCTAAAATATCTTGTAAGATAATATGCAACCAATAAACTGGTTTTGTAACACAGTTTTGTGTACGCAACTGGAAAGCACCCAATACTGGGGTGACTCTCCGAGTCATTTCCCTAGAGCAAAAATAAATTACAGACATTACCACCTACTACTATTATGTGATTCATGACAACCCAAAGCTACCTAATGGCTTCTGCACACAGGACGCGGTAATGCTTGCCGCGCGGCGGAAGTTTGCGCGACAGCCAATCAATATGTTGTTTTTCCGTAAGAGCTAGAAGATTATTTCAGAAACCAGCATATTGATTGGTTGTCACGCGAATTTCTGCCGCGCGGCAAGGATTACCGTGTTCCGTGTGCAGGAGCCATAATGCTGTCTCACGATTGCAAGGAGTGGGTTAGGCAGAACAATACCGTGACAAATACACGAGATAATAATTTTGTAAAATTGTGTTGATTATAAAATCATTTGATATTGTTTTCTAATAAAATTTTATTTATTCTTAATTAAAGTTATAACCATTTAAAAACTTAATTAAAGTTATAATTAAAATTACCATTAATATATATATTATATTTTTCAAATATTATCCTAAAGTAAAAAGTCACACTATTTTAACCTATTTGCAAGTATTGTTTTTACATGACTCCTGCAAGTGCAAGTCCACAATAAATTATTCCATTAGGGTATATTGATGACAAACAAGATAGATTTAAAATCTGTTTTAATAATGTTAATATAATTTATTGTAATCAAAACATAATGTAAGAACATTTATATAAACTTAAAACAATAAATTATTATAGTACAGCAAAATTTCAAATTCCTTTACCTGTCAATGAATATGCTACGACAATGTTTTCAAAAAAATGTGGGATCTTTATATGATGTTCCTGTGGAGGTTGGAAATTATCATCATCTTCATCAGATGGTTGATCAAAAAATATTTCCCACATTTCTAGCACATCCATTTTTTATCTAAAAATGTTTAGTTGTAATGACCCAGGTAGCAAAGTGACGTCTAAAGACGTCATTAAGACGTTATTAAGACGTCTATGATGTTTTAATGACGTCTTTAGACGTCACCTTGCTACCTGAGGAGTATTAAAGTATAAAAGAAATAATTCAAATAATGTTGAAAAATAGTAACATTAAGAAACGTTTGTAGAATTACATACAATTTAAAACAAACTGTGCAAACAAATCTATCTTGTTTTGTTATCAATAGTGTTACGTTCCAGCCGACCGCGGCTGCGCGGGTATGATGCAGTGTTCGGGCCGTGCTGCCGGAACCGGATCGCTTTTCTTTTAGGGTCATTCGAATCTGCGCGATTCTCCCCAGGGATCCACGCGATCCTAGATTCGCCGAACTGTCCGCGGAGCAAATTTAGAGCGGGTGCATGCACGCTATTACGAGCAAGTAAAGGGACGTCTACATTGGAAGTAAATAGCAAGAAGTAGGAAGTAAGAGTAAGAAATTGACCAACCACAGTCGAATGTGAGAAGAATAATTAACTATGATTAGTCAATTTCTTATTCTTACTTCCTACTTCTTACTGTTTACTTCCAATGTAGATGTCCCTTAAGAAGATAGCGCCGTTGGCGCCAAGTACGGATTCTGACTTACCGGCTTCCGCGCCTAAGTCTCGAAGGTGTCGCTCTTATGGTCTGCATGCGGTCCTATACTGCAGCTCCCGTAGTGGTGTAGTCAGGAACTTCTCCGACACAATGTCGAGGGCGGCAATTCTCGATGGTGATTTTTACTTGAGGGTCACTTACCGCACTCCCGGCATAAACCACGCGTTTAAGATTAGGATGTTGAGTTACGGCCCGGAGTTAGGAACGTAGAGTTTCACTCGGGTTTTCGAGGTAGTGGTTCTGACGCAATTAGGAAAGGAGCGACCTTGCTCGGGAGTTATGAAATCAAGAGTTGATTTTATATAATAACTATATATTTTAATAGTAGGGATATACAAAGTCCTAATTCTAGAAGAAATATTCTATAATAATCTAGGATGAGAGTTTATAATGATTAGGATAAGATTATGCAGTCTAGTTAGTAGATCTTACGAAGTTCTTAA